GTTGTACCACTTTCAGCTAGTATTTAGCAACTTATAACCTGTGTTGTACCACTTTCAGCTAGTATTTAGCAACTTATAACCTGTGTTGTACCACTTTTAGCTAGTGTTGAACCATTTTTAGCTAGCATTTAGCTATATATGACCCATGTTGTACCACTTTTAGCTAGGATTTAGCAACTTTTAACCAGTGTTGTACCACTTTTAGCTAGCATCTAGCCACTTAAAAAATTTTGGCTAGTGTTTTGCCATGTTTGTGGGCAGGATGGTATGTTAATATTTTGTTTGAGACAATCAAGTGATTTCAATGACTGACAGTTCTACGCTCAGAGTTCACATCATCTTCTTACAAAAATATTTCTCTAGTTTTAATCATTTTAAACTGCCTTGCTGATACATTTTAATCAGAACCAAAGCAAGTAATTCTTAAAAATGGTTTTATTATATTTGTAGTCTGCAGCTGGTGTTAAACAGATTTGAGTCATACTCTAAACAGTATCAAACTGCTGATTTCTGAATAAAAGTCAGGATATCATCGGTACTGGAGTCAARAAGATGTGAACTAAATAAGACGTGAATTAACCAACAAACGAGACGTGGCAGAATAAAAGGAACACTCCAATCTGTAACTACACAGTTCACACCGTGACACAATAAAAACAACAAAGATTAACAGAAGAGACTTTTCAGCCCCTGAAGGGATTTATACAAAACATCTAAAAMCAAAACTCCTAGTTTTCTTCATCATAAATATCGTCAGTAGTTTTTAAACTTTGCTCATCGTGTGCGCTGCACATCAACTACATTTTTTATCAGCTAAAGTCAACATTTCTCCACTCAGAGGTCCTTTTTGCCAAAGAACTTTTTGAAGACGGACTTGTTGCGAGGCCGAGGCAGACTGGCACAGCTCCTCAGAGCCGAGTACTGGTCCCATCCAGGTGAGGGCCCAGGTGAGGGCCCAGGTGGAGCCCCCGAACCCAAACTGTCTCCGACCACCAGAGTCACGCAGTAGTTGGACCCTCTGTCCACTCCTCGTCCTCCAGRGGAACGCAGAGCGGGTTTGATCTTCTGGTAAGTGGCTGAGAAATTAAAAATTAAAACAAAAATTACATTTTCTGTAATCATAGCAATAGCTAGAAGCTAAGGTAAAAAGAACTAAACCCAAGCTAAAGGCTAAAAAAGCAAAATGTAAGATAAAAGTCACAATTAGTACAACATCAGCTAAAAGCTAAAGATAGCACATCACTGCTAGAGGTTAAAATAATTCAAATGTAGGCTAAAGGTAGTGAAATGCTAACTAGGAAAAGTTGTCGAAATGTAGCGAACGACTAGCTAGATGCTTGAAGTAGCAGAAAGCTAAATAAAAGTGATAGCATATCACTCACTGGAAGCTAAAATAATCAAATTGTTAGATAAAAGTCGATTAATAAAACCCAAGCTATAAGCTAAGAATAGCATTTCAGTGGCTGGAAGCTAGGCTAAAGGTAGCAAATTGCTAACTAATGTAGCAAAAGTTATTTAAAGGTAGCTAATGGCTAGTTAGATGCTTGAAGTAGCAGAATAATAAGCGATAGCTAGAAGCTAAAATAATCAAATTGTTAGATAAAAGTCAAAAGCTATAAGCTAAAGATAGCATATCACTAGCTGAAAGCTAAAAGAATCAAAATGTAGGTTAAAAGTAGCAAAATGCTAACTAGATACTAGAAGTACCAGTACAGTAATTAAAAGCTAAAATCATTAAAATGCAGAAAATGCTAGCTGAAAGTAACAACAGTAGCTAAAAGCTATAAGAAGCAGGCCAGTTGCTAAATGCTACAAGTAGCACAATGGAAGAGTAGAAAAAGTGAAAAGTAGCAGAATACTACTGAAAGCTAAACATTATTTTAAGTAACGTTGAATAKTTTGAAAAGTTTCAAAGTTACAGAAACTAAAAGTCACAGCATCCATCTCCTAAATGAGCCGAATATTTTGATAGAAATGGCTAAAAATTTAGCAGAAGTACTGAAAGCGGTTTGACTCAATTCAGTTTTCTCAAGAGTTGATTTATTTTTTTGGGCAGAAATGTGAGCTCAAAGCAACCTGATGTGAAGGAGTGGCAGCGCTGCTTGCTGCTCAGCCGGTCCGGCTCACCGGACTCAGGGGAGGGGGGGAAGGAAGACCTGATGGGTCCAGAAAGTCTGTGTGTGAAACTGCTCCCATCATCATCATCATCATCATCATCATCGTCATCATCATCATCATCGTCTGAGGAAGGACAGAAATAAAACAGGAAAACTGAGGATGAAAAACCTGAAGGAAAACCTCTAAAACAGCACCATGGCTCCCCCTAGTGGTGCTGACTTTAATTACACCATGAAGGTGAAGAAAAGCTGGTAAATGAACCGTTTTAAAGACTCACAGCAGCCGCCTGCAGCAGAGGACCAGATGTTCGGCTGCTCAGTCAGACGTGTTGACCCGCTCTGTGTCTCTCTGGTGCAGAAAAATGTTTCTTTGGTTTGATTCAAACTCTGAGGTTTCTGTCTGGGGAACGTGTCGATGACATCGTGTTTAGAAAAGCAGTGACAGCTGCTTTGATCCTGACATCTGAGGCACACCGAGGGCTTTCTGATGAGATGGAGAAATATGAAAATACAAATAAATATACAAAACTAGAATAAAAGAATGAGCTTTATTTTCATTTAGGTTGTTTAATGTTTGTCTTACAAAGATGTGGGCCGGTCTTTGTCCACATGAACACTCGACATAGAGTCACTCTGGCCTTTTAGGGGAAATAAAAGAAAAAAAATAAGTAAGATTATCAATTTAAATTGGCATAAATGAGCTTTTTGATAATCACCTGTGCTCGCTTGTATCTTCATGATCCATTTCTTCATCATGAAGCGCGACGAGGCGTTAAACAGATATTCAGACCCGTCCCGGAGCCTGAAAACCAGAAAACAGTCAGTTTTTTTTTTCTTTTTTAAAGCCGAGTCAGCATTCACACTTTTGTTTTTTGTTGCTTTCTGTAATCAGATTACTTGTGCATACTTTGAACTAATTAACCATTCATGCACAGGATCAAAACATCCATGAACAGAGCGATATGACTCTTGTTTTAGCTATGATTATGCTAATTTTATACTTCTAAAATTTTGTTCGTTTTAGCTTTTAAGCTTTTAGCTACAATATAGCTGATTTTTTTTAGCTTTTTCTTTCTAATTTTAGATTATAACTAAGATTTCTCATTTTATCTTTTAACTACAGACTGGCTGTTTTTTTTTCTGCTTTTAGTTGTAATTTTAGTTTATTTTAGGTTTAATTTTAGCAGCAGTTTTGCTGATTTTAACTTTTAGCTGTGATTTGATAATTTTAGCTGTTGTTTATAATTTAGCTGATATTAACTTTCAGTTACAAATGTGCTTATTTTAGTTTTTAGCTTTAATCTCACTTTTCAGTAGTGTTTTGCCGTTTAGCTAAAGTTTTGCTACCTTTTTGCAGTGTTTTGCTATATTTAGCTTTTAGCTAGGATTTGCTGTTCTTACTTACCTACCGACTTACCTACCAACCAACCAACTTACCTACAACCAACCAACCAACCAACTTACCAACAAACCAACCAACCTACCAACCAACCAACTTACCTACCAACCAACCAACTTACCTACCAACCAACCAACTTACCAACCAACCAACCAACTTACCTACCAACCAACCAACTTACCTACCAACCAACCAACTTACCAACCAACCAACCAACTTACCTATCAACCAACCAACTTACCTATCAACCAACCAACTTACCTACCAACCAACCAACTTACCTACCAACCAACCAACCAACTTACCTACCAACCAACCTACCTACCAACCAACCAACCAACTTACCTACCAACCAACCAACTTACCTACCAACCAACCAACCAACCAACTTACCTACCAACCAACCAACCAACTTACCTACCAACCAACCTACCTACCAACCAACCAACCAACTTACCTACCAACCAACCAACTTACCTACCAACCAACCAACCAACCAACTTACCTACCAACCAACCAACCAACTTACCTACCAACCAACCTACCTACCAACCAACCAACCAACCAACCTACCAACCAACCAACTTACCTACCAACCAACCAACCAACCAACTTACCTACCAACCAACCAACCAACTTACCTACCAACCAACCTACCAACCAAC